TTTCTAAGTTTGCGAATAAAACTTCACACTTAAATTTAAGTCATTCATAACAAACATTTTATGAAAAAAATCCCCGTTACGGCCTTCTTTAGAAAAAAAAATATTTGTTTAAAATAAAAATAATCGAAATCGGCCCAATTTTATATAACCCTGCCTCCACGATAACACTAGTAGCCATTTCTAACAGATTTTGGGTCGCTTAGTCAAAAATGGAAACATATATATTTGAATTTTAAGAAAACGAAGAAATAGCAAAATCGGCTAAAAACGGCTAATTTTTTTTACAAAACGGCTAACAAATCGGCTTCCGGCTAAACCGAAATTTCTCCTGCTGTTTGCTATTGCAACCGGCTAAATCTACCCGGAAAACGGCTAAAATGGCAACACTGCTACTCGCTCTGCTAGGTAAGACGAGTGAGCGACGAGCGAGCGCTCCGAGTGTACTATAAAACACATGCATTTTTGTGCATAGAAATATAGGAATGTATGTCAATAGATTATGTACGAAACTATGTTAATGATGTACATATGTGCATATGCCTATAAACATGTGAATATTATATTAGGGCAGCATTTAAAGCAACAAATAAAATTTATTACATACATAAGCATAGATAATGGAATGAATTATTTGTTATAGTTAGATATGTACATACATAACATGCATAGTTATATATGTATGTATGTATTTATGTATTTATGTATGTATGTATGTATGTATGTATGTATGTATGTACATATGCATGTATTTTGTCTTCACAGAGAAAAGTACCCTGCAAAAAATTGTGCGACTAATCTCTAAAGAGCGTATTCCGAGATTACTCTCAATCGGGTACAATTGGGCATTAATTAGTCCCAACTAGTCTCATACGGGTACTAATGGAGGTCAATTAGTCTCGACTCATCCCTTGTGGGTATAATTGGAGATCAATTAGTCCCCAACTCATCTCTAACGGGTACTATTAACGATTTAATGATATGTACGCTCTTAGTCAACGAAGTTTCATGTGCGGCGTTGGCACACAGAGAGAGTATTCGCCTAACAAAACTGAGCACCCCGGTTCGAATCTCAGCTGGCGAAAATTTTTATTTTTATTTTTTAAGTGACTAGTCGCTTTTTATACCCTTGCGGGTATAAATGTGAACAATTAGTCTCTTCATAGGACATGCCCGAACAAAAGCGATCAGTTCCTTCCATATAAAGAGATCAAAAGTGGTATTAGTCGCATGCTCCTTTGCGATTGCTTCCGGAGTCATCCCGGATTAGTCCCATTTTTTGCAGGGTAAGTAACGAGGATATTATAATCATTTGTGCCACGAAACAAAAAACAAGTGAGCACAAAATAGTTTGCTACTTGTAACAGTTATGCTGTATACCTGATGAATGAAATATAATCCTTGGTGAAAAATTTATTTGTGGCCTGTTGTTGAAGGACATATGTATATATATATGTATATATGTATGTACATATGTATGGACATGTAGATATGGGAAAATTTGCGTAAATAAAGAATAGAGGCTGGTTCACATACAACTTTGCCGTTGCGTTGGCGTTGAATTTCAAAGCAGCCGTCCACATAGCCAAAATTAAAGCGCAAACAGTCAACGACGTAGCGTAGACGTAGGTTGACGCAGACACGATCTAGCTTATGGGATTCGCGTGTTTGCGAGAACTCACCACCGCATGGCGGTGACGTTGCCGTTGCTTATCTCTCTATCAACAGTAAATTTTATATGGTGCTACGTACGCCAACCTACGTTTACGCTACGTCGTTGACTAACTGAGCTTTTAGGCAACGCTAAGAGCAGACAAACACACACACAAAGCAGAAAGATCGCTGCGTCGGTCGCCAGCTGTTGCAAATAAATAAAATTATATGAAATGTTTTTCCTTTTAATCAAATGAGGGCAATAAATATAATTTTTCATGCAATTATTGATATAAAATATTAATTTATCTCTCGTTAATATGTTAATTTAGTGGCCAAAGTAGTCTCTGCCAAGCTCCATTGTAGAACGCATACTTTTAACGTGCGTTCTGTCAAACCAATGGCAACTACAAAGTCAACGCGAAAATTCTATGTGGACCAGCCTTAATTATCAAATATTGTTTAACACCCCAAATAGTACTTTGTATTATACTACATACATACATATGTATAGGGACTAAACCAGGAATATTCATTTGAAAATGCTAATGTCCTACTCATTTATGAAATGAAAGACAAAATAATGATTTTTATAAATATTATATTCTCATTTATACATATGTAACATAGTTACTTAGCCGAATTACTTAGTAATTACTTGTATGTAAGAATACAAAGACAAATTATTTATCAGAAGCATTGCCCCTTACACATTGAAAAAAAAGTAATAAAAGCTCTCAAAAAGGCAAAATAGCTACAGCGAAAATAGGGTTTGAAAACCCGCATAAATTCAAATCCGCATAACAGAGAACCGCATAAAAAGAGACCTAATTGTGTAAGTTGAAATTTTATAAGAAATTATTGAACATTAAAAAAATTATACCTACCTAGTAGATAAAACTGGCCAAAATAGCACGCATCTATTCTTCTGTGCATGAGAATATATACATAAATAACTATATACATATGTGTATATATGTATGTATGTATATACATATCTGCATGCGTGAATACAATCCTTTACTCGAAATTCTTAATTGATGCAATTTTTATCCCATACATTTTTGCTGACCAAACAACCCGTTTGCCTGTCTAATCTGCTTGCCTCATTTGCCTCGCTCGTTTTCTCGCCTCATTTGCCGCGCTCGTTTACTCGCCTCGCTCGTCTGCTGCTGCAAATGAGTGCCTCGCTCGCAACGACGCCCTCGCGAGGGTAGAGCTAATGAGGCCCTCGTTTGCTTGCCGCTCTACTCTTACGCTGCCATCGTTTGCTTACTCGCTCGCTGGCTGCTCACCGCGTGCGCTCGTACTAAACGAGTGCTCGTTTGCAAACAGCCTCGTTTGTTTGTTGCTCGTGAGTTGCGCAAGATCAGTTTGCTCTGAGCGAGCGAGGGGCTAAAATGAGGCAAATCCGAACCCTGCTTATATTCCATGTTCTTTGTGATAAGAATGTTCTGCCACGTTTGTAAGAAAAATTGTTTTTGGGTCATAGTACAGGGAGACTCTTTTTAAATTAATAAAGAAAACAGTGAAAATCGGGACATAATCGGTTCAAATATAAAAAATCGGGATACTTATACGTCCCGACTTTTAAAAAATATTCAGCGGTACAATTTTCTCAAAATCGGTACGAATGGTCACCGTAACTATATTGTATATGGGCATTCCCATGGTGGCGCACATGACAGTCGTACGATTTCAATGTGATACAAAAAAGGAATACCATTTGTTTTCTTTAACTTTTTTGAGCCATTGTATAGCACATAATTAGCTCTATATTTAACCGAAAAATGAAATCAATCGAACTGCTTGGCCCTGAAATATAAGCATTTAAAGAGAGTGTCGTTACGTGACAAAAAATGGAAGTTGATTTTTTCTTTTCTTACAAAATCGCAAAACTCTGCGAATTGTGGATGGCTATTTTCATGAAACTTATATTAATATGATTTGGAGCAATTCTAGTTGTTTTTAGAGTTTTTTGAATTAATGCAAATTGTTTGAATTCTCTTTTACAACCCCAAGTGTGAAACGTGACGTGACGTGGCGTCACGTGACATAAATTTCCATCGTTATATTTTTGTTAATATTGCTTTTAAATGAATTTTCAACGCAAATAAAACATGTATTTTATGTAGAATATACTTTATATTTTGACTTTAGCGCCAATTCAGGGTCAATTTATTAGAAATCTATGATTTATTATGTTTCAACCACATACGCCAAATTCGAACCAAATCGGACCATAAATACGGTTTTTCGAAATATCGCGACCTTGGCACCACCTAGGAAGACCATTTTATGCAAACATGATTCTACTTACATAGCCAGTGTATATTTAAAAAATCAGACAAATCGGCCCATAAATACGTTAGATATAAAACTTTTATTTTTTTGTCGTGGTGGACCTTCCGCTGGAAACACCCATATATGTATGTATTATAATTAACTGGGTGTGTTCTTGTAATGTATGAGCATCATACCTCATACGTACATACATATGTATGCATGTACTTAAGTATTTTCACTTGTCATTTCCAAATACATTTTGCTTTTTTATTTGTGATAATATATTTCTCCGCAAATGTTTTGGGCTTGTTCTAATTATGATTTAGTGTTGTCCGTTAAAATATGAATTTTTTAAAGTAGGTATATACAGTGTCGGTCATATCTATAGCCCGCCGTTTCAAAGTGATATTGTGTGGCACTTATGTTTATTTATTTATTTTTAAGAATTTTCAATTAAAATTTAGTTCATTCTCAGACAAACCCCATATATATCCAAGTTTAACAATTTGTAGAAAACTTCAAAAAAGTGCAACAAAATTTCACCTAAATTTTAAACTTGTTTCTTGGAAGTGTTAGGATTTTTTTGAGTACACAGTTTTAGCCCCTGCAATTAAAGTCTGATAATGTGCAAATTTCAAGTGGGTACGAATTACCGTTAATTTTTTAGAATTTTTTTTGTCGCATTGGCTTCCATATAATGAATAAAATCAATTTATTTTTATATGGAAGAAAACCGCAACGCCTTTGGCGAAAAAAATTCTAAAAAATCAACGGCAACCTTTAGCCACTTGAAACTTGCACATTATCAGACTAAAATTGATTGGGCTATAAAACTGTGTATTCAGAAAAATTCTAATACTTCCGAGAAAAAAGTTTGTAATTTGTATTCTACAAATTGATAAACTTGGGTTTATATGGGTTTTGTTAGAGAAAGAACTATATTTTAATTGAAAATTCTTAAAAATAAATAAATAAACATAAGTGGCACACAATATCACTTTGAAATGGCGTGCTATAGATATGACCGATACTGTAGGTGCATATATAGTTTATACGTTGCCTACCTTGGACCTTGGTGTATGAATCTCTGGGAGGAGAACTGGAGTTGTGTTCTAAAGTGCCATAAGGAAATTGCTCATAGTCCCGAAAGTATGAGTTGCGTACTGACCCACCATACGACATTGTCGAGTCTCCAACAAATACACCCCAAACATCCATGGCAAAGTATTGATGCAAATATATACAACAAAATATAAGGCGTTATTATGTGTATAGGCAGAATTGCACTCGTTTTTTATGCTCTAAGTTGTCTGCCACTAGTGGTCGTTTGTGTTCACGCGCTATGTGTGGCACTTGTAAGTAATCGTTGTACTATTCGTCGTTGATTTTCTTTGGGATCAAGCGCTATTTTGTTCGCTATCTTCGAAGTGTCGATTCCTTTCTGCAACCAAATGCTGACTAAAGTTTGACCAGTTCTTGCTCCTAATTATAAATGTCCTATATGCTGTCGTCACTGGCGTCGAATCAGGCAATAATTAGGACCGAAACTGCGTTTATTACACACTTTGTATCACTGTGTTTAATTAAAATGCTTGTCGAAGGCGACTCTTGACTTTTATGTAGATTTGCTACATATGTACATACATATACTCGTATGAATACTTTCATATAAATATTGTAAGTCTTATTTTTATAAATGCGTACATTTACTCTTTGTTTATTTTGTTATAGTGTGAAAGTGGTTTATTGTGGCTTTTAATACATAATTCGGTAAATCAGAAGGGTATACATATGTATGTATGTTTGTAATTGTGTGGCAAAATGCTCAAAACCGTAAAAAGTACACTTTATTGTCCGATGAATTCTCGAAAGAGACTGAACTAAAATTGTTGTCTCGTCGACTATATGGCTCACTGTTGACTGGTTCAACCTTTTTCGCTTTCCATATACGAGTATTTTTATAGATTTGTCGTTGTTGATTGCGTATAAGCATGCACATTTGTACATACTATGTTTGTAGGTATCCATGTGCATTAAGCCGTATCAGTAAACATATATTAAAGAAAAATGTGTTGAGTGTGTGTCCGTTTATTTGAGCATTGATGTCGAGACAAAAAAACAGCTAAATCGCCTTTTTTGCTATAGCGTTCTTACGGGATGTTCGATCTTTTAATCTTAATGACGCCGAAAAGGTCTGGCTCAGAATTATAAAAAAATGGCCTTAAAAACCTTCACTAGATTTGGAAATACTATTCCTTTTTTTTAATTTAATAGTATAAATATAAAGCTCTAAAAAAATTACGAAGACTTTTATAAAAAAGTGTTAGGCTTTATTCACAAATAAAAAGTTATAATGTTGTCAAAAACCCTGCAAACCCCATCACTTAGCAATTGCTAACTTTTGCGTTTTCGATGAATAATTATGTTTAAGTAGTCCTTTCGTGATTCGAGTACGCTGCATTGCTGCCGAATTTCAAGTTTAGCAAAAATATGTCCAATACGCTCTGTGTGAAACTGCAAGTGAAGATTCAATTCGAAGCATTTTGAGTATGGCATAAAATATCTGTTGAAATTATGAAATTTCTCGTTAGCAAATAATAGTATACATATACATATGTAGTACTTCTATGCACCGAAATTCTTACCCGGAAGTTGAATAATTTTGGTCGAATAAGAACTACAGTTTTATTTGAATACTTATGTCAAGAAAAAATTTTGGGTGTAACATTTTTTTTTGTACCCGCTAAATCGCGTTTTTTTCTATAACTTTTTTATTTGATATCAGATTTTTAAAATGTTTATGTTGCCGAAAAGGTCTCACTCAGGACTATAACTTGGTTTGGTCATTCATTTTGGAAATACTATCTCTAGATTTTTATTTTTAATTATTAAAGGAATAAACCAAACGGGTTTTAAAACCAAAATTGATTTATGACTAATTATAATCCTGAGCGAGACCTTTTCGGTGATATAATGGTTTTGAATATCGGATATCAAATAAGAAAGTTATAGCAAGAAACGTGATCTAGCGGTTTTAGCGGGTGCCTAAAAAAAAAATTTAACACCCAATATTTTTTCGACTTCTTTTCTTTCATATGTCGTGATACGGCTTAATGTACATATGTACATACATATACAGTCACTCACAGAATTATTCGTAAATTAGTTTTTTCACAGTATTCAAAATCTTTTTTTCATAAATCTTTTTCGTTAATTTTCATTTGAAATATAGCTCATTCTATAACAAAAACCATATAAATCATTCTTGTAAACTTTGTGCAAAATTCATAAAAACGAATCAAACTTAAAAAAATTTGCATCAAAATTTCAAACTGTTTATTCAGAATTTTTAGAAAAATTTTCGGTATGCAGTTCTGTAGCCCGTTCAATTTTAATATAATAAAGTGCAAGTTTCATGTAGCTAAAAATTACTGGTGATTTTTTAGATTTTTTTTTGTCGAGGGTGTTGCGTATTTTCTTCCATATGGAAATAGATTTTGTTCATGCCTTATTTTTCTAAAAATTGTGAATAAAAAGTTTGATATTTTGGTGAGCATTTTTTTAAGTCTGATTCATTTTTATGAATTTCGTACAAAGTTTGCAAGAATGGTTTATATGGTTTTTGTTATAGAATGAGCTATATTTTAAATGAAAACTGACGAAAAAGATTTATGATGGAAAACATTTTGAATATTGTGAAAAAACTAAATTACGAATACTTCTGTGAGTGCCTGTACATACTGTTAGAGCTTCTAGAAATCCGAACAGATTTGGCTTTCATTAAGGCAACTTTTGGTTGTTTGATAATATATATGTATAACAAAGCTTCAAACAATAGATTTGACATTGAAAATGTTGAACACATAAAAAAATGTAAATTCAAAAACACGAGACAGTATTTTGGCCAGAAATCCTGGCTATACCACAATTGCTAATATAAAAAAATGTTTGTTTACTGCCATCACAGCTAGAAGCGAAGACTATCGAAGAACTCCCCAGCAGTATTAAGTTTATTAAAATTTTGTTCAACTAACTTCTACGGATGTGGGAAGAAGTTTTTCGAATTATCCAACAATTTTAAATTACCAGAGAAGGTAATTTTCAATTGTGAATTTAAAAAAGTGTGTTATTTTATGCTGTAATTACCAGATTATTGAATAAAAATATTTAAATTTTGTCCACGGATGTGAAAAGGAGTTTTTCGAATTATTCTACAATTTTAAATTACCAGAGAAGGTATTTTTCAATTGTTAATTTAAAAAAGCATGTTAATTTATACTGTAATTCCCAGATTATTGAATAAAAATATTGCAAACAATAAATAAAACTTCACTCATTTAGCATATTTTGGTAATTTATCGAGCTTTTTATAGCGCCTATTTTCAGTTTTTTCTGGCATATTCTGTCAGCCGTGAATGTGACATTCGTAACATCCCTGATACAAACGCAAAACGAACCTCTGTGGGTATAATTCTACCCAAACGTCATATGAGGGTTAAATAAATTAAATGAACACATTGTTTGGCTCAAAAACGTTCTAAATATGACAAAAATCAAACAATAACTACGAGTTTTCCAAATATCTCGACTCCTGCGCCAACTATCGGGTATAATTTTTTGTGCAATATGAACCATATCTGTCCATAAATACGGGTTTTTAAAATATCTCCACACCCCCGCCATCTATCGGATTAATTCATCTTTCACATTGCAGCTGGCAACGCAATTGAGAAAATTTGTATTACGACTGGCAACTATCGTCAGTTGGTGCAGAGTTATCGATAATCGAAATTTGACAGTTTGGCAACCAGCATGTGGCTGTAAACAAGCTTGCTGGTAAAATGAAATTATTAAAATAAAGAGTTTTAAAGAAATATCTGCAATAATGCAAAGTGCAGTACAAACATTTTTTTAAGAGGGAGAGAAGTGCACGAACGCGACCTAAGTCAGGCGACCTTTAAGGAATAATTCAAATCCTCTAGAACTACCGCCTGCGCTGTAAGCAAACGTTAATGATTTCAAGGTTTTTCTTTCATCTTTTTGAGTTAAGACTCAAAGCATAATTCCAGTATTCCAAAAAAAGCTGCAGTATATTTGGTTAACACGCTGGGGAACACTTCGTTCAACTTCAATACCTCCGCTCATAAAAGCTTGCGCAGCTCTTCGATTTTTCGCGGAAGGAAGTTCCTCGACAATGACTTCAATTTTAAAAATTTTGGATGTCGGTAGTTTTAAAGTATGTATGTGCTTCAGTTGATAAAGGAAAAAATTTGCAATCAGTGTTCGCTTTTCCGCCAAAAAGCTCGCTTACCACGAGAACTAAAATTTCAAAATGTTGTTTTGTTGTTATTTTCACCATGTTATGTAAAGGCAAAATACATTGCAAAATATAATAACGTTTAAACCAGTGATTCCCAAAGTGGTCCAGGAGGACCCCCAGGTGTCCACGGGAGACTCGACAGAGGTCTACGTTGGCGTGAAAAAAATATGGTGGTCCACGAGTTGTAAGTGGGGGTCCATGAAAATTTATCTGGTTTCGATAGTAAAGAACCAAAATGGTTGCTTGATAGCCTATTTATTTAACTTTAAATTTTTTTGAGTAGTGTATAGTGTTTTTGACGCTCTGGTGAACTTACCGTCACTTTGAGTCATCATACGTGGGGAAGCCTTAAAGGCCACCTGTAGACGAAGAAACGGATGTTGATAGTACGCCACCATTACATTTGTTGAAAAGATTATGGAGAGAGAGAATTCCCTGAGGGGGAATGCTGGTTTAATTCCAGCACTGAGCCCGCACTCGTACATTGTCGAATTTTCACTAATGGCTCCAAAACTGACTCAGAGTCAGAATAAGGAGTATTTTTCGATGTTAGTGGGGATAAGCTTCACTTTTTCTCTTGGGGAATATGCTTCGGTCTTCCAGGCTGAGGTATTTGCAATCCCCAAAGCCATAGGCTACGTCGTGGAAAATAGGTGGAAGGGAGGAGTTTACGTGTCTACAGGTACAGCCAAGCTGCACTTAAGGCATTGGCCAGCCCTGTATCTAAGTACTTCCAAACTAGTTCGGCAATGCAAGTCTCGACTCTGGGTGCCGGGCAACTCGGGAGTGCCTGGAAATGAGATATCTGACCCTTTGGCCACAGTTGGCTTAGACCAGGCATTCCTCGTTCCGTAACCAGTTATAGCACTCCCCACTCACTGAGAAGACGTGACTGCTGACTGGTCACTGCCCTTGTGCCACCTGACTGTGATAGGCGTAAATGACAACTCCATTTGCCCATCCTGCTTTGAAGAGGATGATTGCTTGCTACATTGTTTATCATCCATTTATCTAGATTCGGTCTTTTCTTTTTTGTCAGTTTCTGAATTTGAAGTTTGACATAAAAAGCTTTGCAGTTTTGTTGTTTCAAGTTTTGTGTTTTAAAATGCGAGTTGCGAATATTTTTCGCATCACTTTAAAACTCGGAGTGATAAAAATAAAAATGATGCAATCAACACAAATAAACTATTTGACAAATACATCACATGCAAATTCATTAGTGAGCCGAACATGTGAGGAGTTTATTTAGTGCTCTTAAAAAATATAACAGCTCAGAGCGAAATAGTTCTTTCATGGCTTTACGAGCTCTGTTTTTTAAAGCTTGCAAGTGTGTAATCACATTATTTTGTAAATAGAACACAAGAAAATATTTTATTTTTATTTTTGCCACTCCGAATTTAGTTTTGGAACTCATCCGCGATGCGGAATTACATCGTTAGATTTAATCTTCACATTTTTCATGAGCTTTGGGAATATGTTAGAAATGAGCATCAGGGGATCCACCGAAACCAGTAAAGTTTTGAAAGGGGTCTACGAGAAAAATAAGTTTGGGAACCTCTGTTAAACTGTAAAAAACTAAAATATTTCACTGTTTTTTGGTTTTTGTAGCGATCAGTATGTAGAATATATTTTTGGTAGACTTGTAGGCTGGTGTGATCTATTATTTAATGGTGCAAATAAAACACTTATTCCACCTTCGTTGCCCAACGTTTCGCTGAAATTTCCAGCATCATCAGGGGCCACTATGTTTATTAAATCCAACAAAGAAATACAAGGAAAAACAAAAGATGTTAAAATGAATAATAAAAGTTGGCATACATGTGTTTGTAAAAACAAAGACAACAATTATGGACTAATACAAAGAACATATACTCACAATAATATTAAACATTTGCTTTAAACTTAATATTAATACATATACACATAATCAGTACCAATCTCTATGATAGTCTTGTCATTACTAAATTGTTTATTTTGATATGCATAACATGTAAGCGGCCGCGATGTTGTCCGTATCTTCTTTTTTGTTGATCGTATTCTCCCTTTTTTCTAATATTCTTAAGCTTTCCAAAGTGTATCTCGTCATTTCCCTCTTTTCCTTGTCAATAATCCTAGTGTTAGTGAAATCAGCTGTGTGGCCGCTGTTTAATATGTGCTGTGATAGGGCTGTGCTGTGTTTTTGTTTCCTTATATCTGTTAGATGTTCGGCTATGCGAACACCTAATGCGCGTTTTGTTGTCCCTATGTACACTTTACCACAGTTTTCGTTCTCTTTGCCCTTACATTTTATTTCATAAACAACGTTGTTTTGTTGCTGTATGTCTAGTGGGCTTTTTGTTCTTGTGTAGATTCTAGCTAACGTGTTATTTGTTTTGTAGGCGAGAGTTATGTTTTGTTCCTTTAATGTGCTGTGATCAAAGTTTTCGCTTAGCTTGGGGATGTAAGTGACGCTGTAGTACTTCTTTGGTGTATTTGCTGTTGCTGTGGTCGGCGTTTTATTTTGCTGATTTCCTATTCGCATTGTTTCTTGTTTTATTAGTTCGCGTATCAGGTGATTGGGATAATTGTTGCTTTTCAAAATGCTGTGTATTTTTTCTATGTTGGCTTCGTGAAATTTTTGGTCGCTTATCGTCAGTATTTTGTGTATAAGATTTTTCGCGGTGTTGATTTTATATTTTCTTGGTTGGGAGGAGAGATAATTGATCAGGCGTCCAGACGACGTTGGTTTCGAGTACCAGTTTAGAACAATATTGTTGTTGTTTTTGTGTATACGGACATCAAGGAAAGGTATGCTCGCGTTTTCTTACATTTCCATGGTAAACTGAAGTTTTGGGTGGTATTTGTTTAGCGTCTCTAGAATTGTATTCACGTCGTTGCGGTTTGTTATTGCAAAAATATCGTCTACATATTTGTTGATAAACTTGATGTCAATGTTGAAGTGTTGTTTCAGCTCCGAGATGGTGTTGTCCAGAAGGTCGTCCATAATGATGTCGGCAATTGTCGGTGAGAGGGGGTTGCCCATTGGCATTCCAAATGTTTGGGTGTATAGTTTGTTATTGCACATGAAGTAGTTATTACCTTTAAGGCAGAAGTCAAGAATTTGTTGGAATTTGTGGTTTGGAATGCTGGTTGTCCGTTGTATCTGGTCCCACTTTTTCATAATAATTTTTGTAGCTAACATTGTCGGTATATTCGTAAACAAGGAACTGACATCGAACGACACTAAAACATCTTCATCACATACACTTATATTCGTTAATCTCTCTTTCAAATTAAACGCATTCTTCACATTTCATATACTTTTCAATTTTCGCTCCTAAATACGCTCCAAAAACCTTCACAGCAACCATTTTCCATATGTAATATCGTTTAGGCAACTGGCAACGCCACTGAAGTTACGTTGCTATCGATAAACGATCCATAAAATCATATATCGTCGTTTAAAGTACAAAACCGCGTATCAACAAAATGCAAAACCGCGTATGTGAGGTTGCATAAACTATTTTCTAGAGAGTAAAAACACTCATATTACAAAATGGTTCTCTTTTTTATAAAGCAATCACATATCTGGCTAGTATATTTCAGGATGAATGAATAAAGATTGAGCCAAAAGGTTGTGTGAGCAAATTAAATTTTTGGCAGCAAATGTCAGTTACGCGGTTTTGTACTTTAAACGACGGTATACATATAATACTTCTATATTGGCAGTAAGCTAACAGTCCAGTACCGTTTTTGTTTATGTATTGTTTACGTGAGTAGCGTTTTTGTGCATGTGTTGTGTACATATTTATCCTGCAGGGAAAGCTACTACCCTGAAGGAAAGATTGGTCCAATTGCTCGAAAAATATAGTCGTAGGTATAGTAGCTTCGTATCTAGACCAAAGATAGTCCAAAAATATAAAGCAATGTAATGTAAAACAGGTGAATTGTACTAAAAATGGTCCGAATGTAATGCATAAGGTATGAGTTTTGATCTAAAACTGGTTACAATGTCATGCAGTAGCGGACAACGGGTACAATTAACGGCTTGCTGATATGTAGGTACTTAGTCAACAAATTTTCATGTGCGACATTGGCATGCAGAGAGAGTATCCGCTTAGAAAATCTGAGAACCCCGGTTCGAATCGCAGCTGGCGCAAGCTTTATTTTTGTTTTTTTCCCCCAAAATTGCTTACAATGTAATGCAGAAGGGGACAATTGGTCCGAGCCTAGGACATTCAAGGTAAAATGTAAATAGAATTTTACATGTTGTTGAACCAAACTTTGGACTAGTTACAATCACTTGCAGTCTAGTTTGTGGTGTGCTCTAAGTCTATTCCGAGATCCTACAGGGTAGTTGTGAACTAGAATACTACCAGTTTGCTTTTCAGCCCAACTAGTTCACGTTCTGTCTATTTTCAATGTAAGCGATTAGTATTTTTAACACGGGGATGTCCTACGAGATGTCAATTGTCAGGCTGTGCATCAGCATCTACCAGTAGAAATAGTAGTAGCATCATACCAGTTAATGTGATCGTGTGCCAATTCATACCCCGTGAAAAGCATAAGTATGCCACTTTGCTCGCGGCGCTGCAACAGTGGTAATGGCCGACAGAGCAGAGCACTGGCGTGGTATTCCTGAGGTCCGGGGTTCATTCCCTGGCGCAGGGAACTTTTTTTATATATTTTTTTAATTTTTTTATTTATTTTTATTTTTCATTTATTATTTTTTTAATGCAGTTTTTTATTTAGGGTTTTTATTGTAAGTTTTAAATCTAATAAAAAAAAGATAAATGAAATGAAATAAAATGAAATGAAAAAATGAAATTAGTTTCTTGTTTTATGGCACAAGTATCTCTTCCCATATGCATGTTTTTTCTGCAATGAAATTAGATTTTCAATTTTATTATTTATATTTAAACTGAAATAATTATATTGACTTACATTGAATTAATTTTAAAAATCTTAACCACCTCCAAGCGGACTCAAACCTGCGATCTCAGCACCAGAACCGTCAGTCTTCATGCGACGCCACAACCGACATTTGTAAGAAAAGCAATTAATTGCGTTTTATGTTTGGTGTTGTCAATTCAAAGGCAGATGTCGCTGAACGCTTAAGTTCTTCGAAATTGTCAATTGGCACATCCTAGTTAATGCACTGGTATTTTTACTGACTGCTTTGACTTTGCACTGCAGGGTATTTATAAACGTATGTGTACGTGTATTTGTACGTGTTTATTGATATATCTGCACTGTAATGTTTTCGGACTATACTGGCTGTTACTGCCAATATAGGAGTATTACATATATGCATAAAACTGACACACACTAAACTTTTTCCCGTGATACGCCTTAATGTGGATGCATATGTGACCAGTGTTGCCGCGGCGTTCAGAAGAAATGTATCACCAAATTTCCTTAAAATGGATCAAAAGTATCATGAAAAAAAGTTCAAGTATCAAAGTATCAATCTTCAATAAAACTTCTAATACTTTAATTAAAATGGTAGTTTGAATTTTTAATTGATATCGTTGACAGTTTTTATTAATATTTTTTGGTTTTTATATAAAATACAGAGTGAAAATAAAGCTTTTATACTCGGTAACAGTTTAATTCATTTGCATACTTAACTAAAATCACTTGTCAATGTGGTGTTTAACACTGTAAACACATAACAGTGGTTTTCACAATACTTACTGGATTACTCTAGACAAAATTCTTAACGCAGTTTTACACGATTGGCACATTTGTACAGATTTGTACAGTTACAGAGTAGTGTTGTTTTAAAATTCTTTTATTGAGCTGAACTCAAATTTCTAAAGAACACCACTCTTAGACTGCCAAAATGTACAAATCTGTACAAATGTACCAATCGTGAGCCTGCCTTTAGCAAAGTACCACATCCGACAGCTTCAAAATTAAAAAGGAAAAGGAACGACAATATTAGCCTGTCCCCGCACTCCATAATTTAGTGAGAAGTTGTTCGCAAAATATATGATAAATGTGTGAAAGGAAACGACTTCGGACTATTTCGGACTAAATCCTGGAGTACGGGAACAGGCTAGTTTTCTGTAGCTAACAATGATGCCATATGCAGATTAAAGGTGGTATGTTCAATGAAAGGAAACAAACTAATGTGTGGCCACAAAATCATAAAAGTCTTAAGATGGAAAGAGTTACCCTCAACTTGTGAATTAAAATGTATCACAATTTATAGTAGTTAAAAATAAAAGTATCTTTTAAAAATTCGATGAAAAATGTATCATTTTGATCCATTTGGATCAAAACGGCAACACTGTATGTGACTCTGTCGACTGGTTTAGTTGTTTGTTTTCCTGAATATTTACGTTGCGTTTATTTTGCGTTAGCAGTCTCGTGCCGTTTTTTTTCATATTCTTTGCAATGCAACAGAACACCTCCACTGGCCACAAATAAGCACAGAAAATGGCTAATGCAATCTCCTCTCTCATTGAGCAACAGTCGGGTTCGCGCATGTGACGGCGTTTCGCCATTTCGTCGTGAGAAAGAGAGGGCGAAAATGGTGTACGTGAGTCACACGGGGTAGCGCGCTATGAAGGTAAACATATTGTTTATATGCATGTATATATGTACATACATACATATATGTATGTATACGTACTTATTAGGGATGTTAATTTTTTCGCTTTTTACGATCCCGGGATTTTCGGGTTCTCGTTAGCACAATCCCGGGATCCCGGGATTTAGATATTCATTATCATCAATCATCATCAATAACTTAAATCGAAAAAATTGCTTCAATATAGTTTGAGAAGCTCTCCAATCATTAACCCATTAATGGTCGCCGTGCCAATTTGACAAGTGTTGACACCAGTGCAAATTTAATTTCAGTTTTGAGTAGTTAGAAGTGCAGTGGTTAAATATACAATAAAAAGATGTATCTATTAGTTGTGATTTTTGTTTACTTATTTGCTGAAATTTCTTATCAAGACGCGCGTGGAGGTATGTATTATTTTTTAATTGTAGTAATATGTAGATAAATGCAATCATCATTTTTGATTGTAATATACCAAATTCAATAAATAATCAATCATTTACAATATTTTATAGTAACGTATATAAAGAATGTAAGTATTTGTTTTACTCAAAACATGGCTGTTCAAATTCGGGTACAGCGGCCACAAGTGTACTCAATTTATCCTTATTTCGCAGAGTTTGAAAATAAGTCGTAAGCGAATATTTAAAGCAAGTACCAACTTCCAAGGTCTAGAAGAGGCCATAAGTTCTATCGTAAAAGACAGTTGTGATGGTTTGGAGTGTGACTTGGCTATAATTCCCCCGGAACCCAGCGTTGTTACTGACGAAGAAGAGGGTTTTGATGACAACGATGCTCCATCTAGCATGCCGAATGATGTTCCCGGAAATATTGAGATATTTGCCCGCGATGTTGATGTTTATTCAGATTCAGCAAATAGCAGTGATGACGAGCCATTAGCTACCAAAAGAGCCCGAATCAGTTCCA